CTCGAAGCATGGAGCGGGGATGGGATTTGCAATGCGCAGTCCTGACATCCGCCGCGCACACACAGACCGATGCCCTATCCTTATTCGACACGGGCCGCTGCTGGTCCTCGTGCCGCTGCCAGGTCATTGCGCCGCGCACGCCTGGAACTATGACGTACGCACGCGCGCGCGGACACGCAAATGTGTGCGTAATGCGCTGATGCTTGCGAGCATGTGCCGAGCCAAGCCTATCCTTCCTCCTCCTCCTCCTCTTTATTCTCCCTATCCTTCCCTCTTCTGTGCACTTCTCCTTGCTCCTCTCCTCCCGCTCCTGCTCTTCTTCCTCCTTCCCCCTCCCCCCCAAGGCCTCCCAATGCGCGCGGAGGCCAGGGGCAAACCGCGTGCCATCACCCCAACAGAATAGCCGAATAACCGCAACAATGAAGAGGCGGGACCTGGGTGAGAGCAGCCAGACACACGGGTGAGAGCACGGCCATGTGCACCGTAGTCTTGATATAAGGGCTCGTGGCTGTCTGGACCAAACATGGTCGACCCACGAACGTGGAAAGGAATATAGCAACGTGAGGCATGGAAACTTCTTCAAAACACAGTCGGGGCGTTGACCTACGGAACCCTAGATAAGGAACGAGGCCCCTTTTTTCCATAAGTTAAGCTTCGATTTCCGATCGGGAACATAAGGAAAACCTGAGGCAAACTGTGAAACACTTAAGGAACGCGGAGCCCCTCCCCAACGAAAAGGGTTCCTTCTTCAGGGCCCCGACTGTACCTGACTGGGCGACAAGCAATTTCAATACTGGAAACATCGATGGTGATGTACCGCGCCAAGGGCTGTGCCGTGTCGTGCCGTGCTGACTTGAGATGCGCCATGCTCTATGGCCTTGAGGACCAAGTCGTTCTTGGCAGCCGAATCCTGACCGAACTGATCTGGATGATCTTACCGACCAGCCATAACTGAGGGAGCTGTGGTCCTTACCCCCCTGGGGGAACCCATCGCCTCGACGATCTCTCGAGAGGGGTGTCGAAATCGATGGGTCCCCAAGGGGGGTAAGGACAGCAGCTTCCCCAGTTGTGGCTGGCCTGTGATCTTAAGCTCGAGGCGCCTGAACGCACAGCTCGCCCAGGGCTGGCTGCGATCGAGACGTGCGGGGCGCTCCGCCTGCTCGACAGCTCGAGATCCGATTCCGCTCCAAAGTTGGACGAACCAATAGGGGGCGAGGAGGAGGAGGAGGAGGAGGAGGAGGAACCAACAGGGGGCGAACCTGAACAGAGGCGACACACACACACACACCGACATCGGACGGGCCGAAACGCAGCGAACCTAGACGCGACGTCCTGTCTGACAGGACGAGCAGAGACAAATACGAACCGAGACGAGGGCCGAACTGACGATCATCGAATCGAATCAAGACAATCCGAGGCTGGGACGAGCCAACTACGTCTCGGCTCACCCTCTAAAACCACATGCCGTCTCCTGCCGAACGAGCCGCACTCCAAGGGCCAACACCCCTCGTAAATTACAAGGGATGTGCGCCCCCAAGGCACATTGCGATTGACCCGTGCTGTGCTCAGCTATGCTGCGTCATGCTGTGTTGAACTGTGCTGAATTCCATTGCGTTGTGGGTCGAGCCGTTCTTGGCACCCGAATCCTGACCGAAATGATCTGGATCTTAAAACTCGAGCCGCCCGAACGCACAGCTCGCCCAGAGCCGCTTGCAATCGAAACGTGCGGGGCGTTCAACCAACTCGAACTCAAGATCCGATTCAGTCCCGAATCCGGACGAGCCAGCAGGGGACAGCACCGAACCGAAGCGAAACACACAAACTATGGGCGGACCGAAACGCGGCGAACCGAGACATGGACCGAACCATGTAAAAAAACATGGTTTCAACCCACGGGCGAAAGAAACCCATGTAAGCACACATGGTTTCAACTCGCGGTCGACAGGAACGCATGCAAAGACACTTGGTGCCAACTCACACGCGAAAATAACCCATGTAAGAACATACGGCTTCAGCTCGTTCGCTAAAGGAGCACACGTAAAAGAACGTGGGGTCAGCCCACCGGCGAAAGGAACCCATGTCCGAAACACGTGGGAGGGGGATGGGGGAGGGGGGGAGGGGGAGGGGGAGGGGGGGGAGGGAGGAGGAGAGGAGGAGGAGGAGGAGGAGGATGAGGAGGATGAGGAGGAGAGGAGGAGGAGGAGGAGGGAGGAGAGGAGGAGGAGAGGAGGAGGAGGAGGAGGAGGAGGAGGAGGAGGAGAGGAGGAGAGGAGGAGGCGGAGGGAGGCGGAGGAGGAGGAGGAGGAGGCGGAGGAGGAGGAGGGGGAGGGGGGGGGGGAGGAGGAGAAGGAGGAGGAGGAGGAGGAGGAGGAGGAGGCGGAGGAGGAGGAGGAGGAGGAGGAGGCGGAGGAGGAGGAGGAGGAGGAGGAGGAGGGAGGGAGGAGGGGAGAGGAGGAGGAGGGAGGAGGAGGGAGGGAGCTCCTCCCCGCAGTCCGAGGGCCCCCCGCTCGCCTTCTCGCAGTGCGCTCTCCGACGAGGCCCTTGCTCGAGACGCCCTCGAGATCCGTGCAGGCATAAGCCCCGATGGCCACATGCTCAAAAGGGCCCAGGGACACACACACACACACACGCACACACACAAAAACACACACACAAAAACACACACACAAAAACACACACACACAGTCACACAGTCACACAGTCACACAGTCACACAGTCACACAGTCACACAGTCACACAGTCACACAGTCACACAGTCACACAGTCACACACACACCCACCCCCACGCACGCACGCACGCACGCACGCACGCACGCACGCACGCACGCACGCACGCACGCACGCACGCACGCACGCACGCACACACACACACACGCACGCACGCACGCACGCACGCACGCACGCACGCACACACACACACTCACACACACACTCACACGCACACACACACACCCACACACCCACACACCCACACACCCACACGCGCACACCCGCACACCCGCACACCCGCACACCCGCACACCCGCACACCCGCACACACACGCACACGCACACGCACACGCGCACGCGCACGCGCACGCGCACGCGCACGCGCACACGCGCACACGCGCACACGCGCACACGCGCACACGCGCACACGCGCACACGCGCACACGCGCACACGCGCACACACGCGCACACGCGCACACGCGCACACGCGCACACGCGCACACGCGCACACGCGCACACGCGCACACGCGCACACGCGCACACGCGCACACGCGCACACGCGCACACGCGCACACGCGCACACGCGCACACGCGCACACGCGCACACGCGCACACGCGCACACGCACGCACACACGCACACACGCACACACGCACACACGCACACACGCACACACGCACACACGCACACACGCACACACGCGCACACGCACACACGCACACACGCACACACGCACGCACGCACACACGCACACACGCACACACGCACACACGCACACACGCACACACGCACACACGCACACACGCACACACGCACACACGCACACACGCACACACGCACACACGCACACACGCCACGCACACACGCACACACGCACACACGCACACGCGCACACACGCACACGCGCACACACGCACACACGAACACACCCACACACGCACACACGCACACGCGCACACACGCACACACGCACACACGCACACACGCACACACGCACACACGCACACACGCACACACGCACACACGCACACACGCACACACGCACACACGCACACACGCACACCACGCACACGCACGCACACACGCACACACGCACACACGCACACACGCACACACGCACACACGCACACCACGCACAAACCGGCAACACACGCACGCACGCACACACGCACACACGCACACCACGCACACACGCACGCACGCACAGCAAACGCACGCCCGCACGCACACGCACACGCAACACGCACCTCCCCTTCTCCAACACGCACACGCACACGCACACGCACACGCATCGCAGACGCAGACGCACACGCACTAGCACACGCACAAGAATTCGCACACGCACACGCACACACATACCAACGCACACACACCACACACACCATACATACAGCGCACACACACAAAGAAACCACACACACAACTCACACACACACCACACACACACGCGCACACGTTCACGCAAACGCTCACGCTCACGCACACGCACGCGCAAACACACACACACGCACACGCACACGCACGCGCACACCCACACGCACGCGCACACGCACACGCAAACGCACACGCGCACGCGCACGCGCACGCGCACGCGGACGCACGCACGCACGCACGCACACACACACGCACACACATACACACGCACGCACACGCTCACGCATACAGACACACACGCACACGCAGACGCACTAGCACACGCACAAGCATTCGCAGACGCAGACGCACACCCATACCCACGCACACACACACACCACACACACCATACATACAGCACACACAACACAAAACACACACACAACTCACACACACACACACACACTTTACACACACGCACACGCACACGCAAACGCTCACGCTCACGCACACGCACACCAACACACACACACACCCACACGCACACGCACGCGCACACCCACACGCACTCGCACACGCACACGCACACGCACACGCGCATGCGCACGCGCACGCAAGCACGCACGCACGCACGCACACACGCACGCACACACGCACACACGCATACACACACACGCACGCACACGCTCACGCTCACGCTCACGCTCACGCACACGCACACGCACACGCACTAGCACACGCACAAGGATTCGCACACGTACACGCACACCCATACCCACGCACACACACCACACACACCATACATACAACACACACAACACAAACCACACACACAACTCACACACACCACACACACAGGCGCACACGCACACGCAAACGCTCACGCACACGCACACGCACACGCACGCGCACACCCACACGCACACGCACACGCATAC